GCAGAAACCCCACAACCTCTCTCCTGGGAGCATCTTTCGCTCTCCTTGGACCTCTATTGGTTCCCGTTGGGTCAGATTTTTTTTTCCTGGAGATATCCATAGGTAAGCTTTTCTGCCACTTCTCTGCCTTCATCCCTCTCTGATCCTGGCTCTCCAGCTTGGAGAAGCCAGCCACCAAACCCCTCTTGCTGCTTCACTTGCCTTCAGCTTTCCGCCAGGACACATCTTCAGCTTTCTTCCAGGACATCCAGTCCCACTGATCTCTGGCCATTCTTACTTGCCCTTTCTGACAGAATCAGTCTGCTCCCATTTGCTGCATCTCCTGGCTGATCCAAACAAGTCATCTAATTGTTCAAATGGGAGTACTTCCTCTAGTACACTGCTGAAATTACTTCATTTCCCTTTGACACATCATCCCCATCATCACCCCGTCTGCATACACACATAACACCATGTCTGCGTCTAGACTGGCATGATTTTGCGGAAATACTTTTATCGGAAAAGTTTTTCTGTTAAAAGTAATTCTGCAAAAGTGTGTCTAAATTGGCACGGATGCTTTTGCGCAAAAAGTGCTTTTGCGCAAAAGCATCCGTGGCCAGTCTAGATGCGATTTTGCACAAGAAAGCCCCGATTGCCATTTTATCCATTGGGGCTTTTTTGTGCAAAACAGTTCTTCCCTCTCTACACTGGCCCACTTGCACAAGTATTCTTGTGCAAGAGGGCTTTTTCCTGAGCGGGAGTGTGAAAGTATTTGCGCGGGAAGCACTGATTTTGTACATTACAAAGTTAGTGCTCTTGCGCAAATTCAAGCGGCCAGTGTAGACAGCTGGCAAGTTTTTGCTTTTGCGCAAAATCTTGCCAGTCTAGATGCACCCCATTTGTATCCCAGGTAAATTCTAAGGTTCACAACATAATACACATGTTCATACACAGAATTCACCCTGAAAAGCAAACAATTCTCTATTTGTACATCTTGCTTTCTTAGCTGTGTATGGCTATGTCTAGACTGCAGGCTTCTTGCGCAAGAAGCTTTTCTTGGAAGAGATCTTCCGCAAAAACTTTTTGCTCAAGAGTGCGTCCACACTGCAAAAGCGCATCAAAAAAGCGATGTGCTTTTGCAAAAGAGAGTGTCCAGACTGCAGGGACGCTCTCTCGAAAGTAAGTTCTGATTGCTATGCACAGAATGGTCACCAAAATGGCCACCTGTGCTTTTTCCTCTTTCCTCTTTTTGCGCAAAAAAAAAGTCTTCCTTGTCTACACACACCTTTTTGCAAAAGAGCTCTTTTGCAAAAAGGCGTTCTTCCTCATAGAATGAGGAATACCTATGCTGGAAAAAAACCCTGTTCTTTCGATTTTCTTTTTTGCACAAAAACGTATTTGAGGTGAGGTGCTTAGTTCCCAATGGCAGAGAGATGCCAGCAATTTTGTTTAATATCCACTAATGTCCTTAATTTTCTATGCATTGACTTTCATGTATGCACTCTTTGTGCTCTTGTCGCAGCCAAAATGTAGTGGGAGTTTGACACTGTATCTAGAATAAAGTCCAGAGGGAAAAATCAGTGTTGTGTCTCCGTAGAGCTGTTTGTAGTTCAGAGGATCTGCAAAGGTTTGGCAGAAATCTGTCATGACTGAATTCAGCTGTTTTGTTTTGTAGGGTTTTTTTGGGCTATCTCCCTCTCTCATGTAACTTGATGATGCATTTAACAGGTCTGATTTTATTCAGCTTGGACAGGAGAGCGCCACACACGTTCTAATATGAATTGATTTTGGAATGTAGTGGCTGGACTAAAAGTTGCCAATGAGCTCCAGGAGAAAGAGAACCTGGTGTAGCTGCTAGATTTCCAGAATGGATTTGAACATTTGGTATTCTCTCTTTGGGGGACAGTTGTTGTTTGTGGTGTGTGAGAATCCTGAACATGCTAATTTGCACAGTTGGATCATTAATAATGTGTGATAAACTGTAAACTCATAACTCAGAAAGGCTCGAGAGGAGATTAGAGTCCAGAGAGCAGAATCTACTAAACAGATAAAGTGCGGTATGTATCAGCTTTTTCAGCATAAGGGTTATTTTTCAAGCAGGATCCCAAAATCTTCTGAATTTCTGCAGTGAAGTAGAAGAGCAGGATCACCAAGTGACTAAAAGCAAGAGGCTTGTACCATCTGCTACACTGCAGAATTAATTGTAGGCCTATACGTGGGCAGGAAAGATGAAAAAAGAGAACTCTGAACAGTTGTAAGAATTAACTGTGTGTGTGATATGAATGTTGCGCTACCTGCGCAATCTGAATGTCCATGTTTTAAAATATTCTCAGTCAGTATGTTCTACTATGCAGTAAGTGTGTATGTGTTGGAGGCAGGGGCAGCATGAGGAGATTAGTTTCAGTGGACTGACTTGCCCTGTCAAAGTCAATTGTGTGGACTCTATTGGTTCCTGTGACATTCTCTCAGCGTACCAATATGCTCAGGGAAGATTAAACTGTTTTCATCTCCCATTCTTGTGAAGGATGAAAAGTGAAACGAGTTTCATGGTGGATTAATACTCAGAAGGCCCTTCCATTCATCATATTGTGTGTAATTTCCCTGATAATGTACTGCATCTGGTGGGGGGAGGGGTTGTTATAAAGCTGAATTACTTTGTTTTGCCTTCAAATAAATAAGTAATTAGGATGTACTAATCGTCTTGGCATTTTTCCCCCACTAAAAGATTGAAAAACAACTCTCACCTCTCTGCTGTTGTGCTTTTGTTGCCATGAATTCAGGATATCAAATTGCATACCGCCTGGCAACCAGCAGCCCTAACACGTTCACCACAGTGGAAGTTGGCTCAACGGTCAGGCAGTTCATGGCTACTGATCTCAGCCCTGAGTCTGCATACATCTTCCGGACATCTGCCAAGACCAGACAGGGCTGGGGAGAGCCTCTGGAAGCCACAGTAATCACTACAGAAAAGAGAGGTAATGCCTTTAGTCATCATGGCTTCACCAATACAATGAATGTGATGAACTGTGTGAAAGAGGATTCTCCAGGCTTGTTGGAAATTGAAATTTTCCTATCCCGCAGTGTGTTGGCTATGTACAATCCCCTTCTGCAGTCAGCTATTTTTATCAGGTTATTGTTGACCTTCTAAATAAAACATTTAGGCTGAAATCTCAGGAAAGAAAGGGAAGGATTAATTGCACTAATTAGGAGAAGTAGCTGTGAGCAGACACTGTGCAGGCTTCCCCCATATTGCTCTGCCACTGTACCTCAGTCCTGACCTAAGGAGTTCCCTGATAGTCTATTCTTTCGCTCTAATACACGCTGCCATGGCACCCCCAGATTTTAAACTGGCTCAAAGTTATTAACTACATTCCAATCCAGTCACTTGTGCCTTTGGTTACATGTGGAATCTCATTGGCAAGAGTAAAGTTACACATGTGTATTTAAATCTAGTTAGATAACAAGGGGATATGCTCCTCAGAAACATAACAGATAACAGAACCTGACCTGTGGCATCTTTGTTTTACTGGGTGGCATTTTTTACACAATCCTACTTTCCTTGCAGAGCCTCAACTTTGTGGATTTGACAGAAAAAACTTTACAAAAAAACTTGTAAATGAAGAAAATTTGATTGAGCTGAGAGAAAATAAGCAGGGAATTCCAACATGCCAATTACACAGATACACTTTTCAGAGTAGAACCATATTTCCTGAGGAGACAATCACAATAAAGCCCCAACATAAGTAAGTCTTATGGTTCAATTGGTAGACCTCCAGCCCTTGAGTAAGAAAATTGTGGGATCAGCTGTCAGACTTTGAACCTTGCCTACTTCTGACAGGACATTGCAACACTTCTCAGTTCATAAAATATGATTGTCCAATAATTTCTAGATCTGAATCTGAATTGTGTATCTTCAATGTAACTTGGGACGTGAGCAAGGTTTTACCATCCCAGTGAATCTCACTGGTTTGTGGAATGGCTACTTTGTTGTGTTTCTATTACTTGTTTACAAGCATACTGTTGTTGGCCTATTGCTCCCTGCTCAACCTAGAGAGCTAGTGAGGTTGGGTTATTTTTATTTGGTCCCTGTAATTTGACCTGTCCAACTTGGGTGGTCCTACCCAGAGTTAAAACTTAGATCGGCATAGCTTTCAGGATGAGTTGAACACACAAGTCTTCCCATCACATCAAGGTGCTATCCCTAGGGAAGGAAAATACCAATAGAATTTTTTTTTAAATACACGTGTTAATGGCCCCATCCATCTTATGAACAGATAAGCCCAAGATCTCTCACCCATAACTGTTGTTGTCCATGTGAAAAATTTTTAAAAATGGAACTGTCCAATAAAGGGTACAGGAGAAGCCCAGTATCCTGGGAAACATTCTCCTTCCCAGAAAAAAAAATCCATTCTAATTTCCAGCACTGCATGTTAGCTGTTGCTAAGCATATAATCGCTCACTGCATAATTCCCACTTTCACTGCAATAACAATGCTCTCCATTATCATCAAGCCCGTAGGGGTGTCTTAAATGTGAGAGTCATTATATAAAACAAAAGCTTTCCCTCTCTCATGGCTGGCTATGCATTCCCACATACATGCCGTAAAATTGAAACCAGCTGTGTGGTCTGTGTGTCAGAGAGAGAAAAAAAATAGTGAAGCTCATATCAATAAGATGAGAGGACTTGAATAAAATGCAGCTGTTCAGTTAGGAAACAAATTAGACTATGAAAGTTATATAGTGTAAGCATTCATGATGAATGGTCACTTCTGCACCAATTTATTTAATAGCAAATAAAGATGGAAGTTTAAAGTGTGAAGTACCCAAGCCCAATTGAAATTCAATGGGGATTGGACACCTGATTCCTTTAGGCTAGGGGTAGTCCAGCTGGATTAGAACAGCTCCTGCTGTGAGCTCAGCATCAGTCTTTAGAATGGATCAACAATAAACAAACTTCAGACTTGGCTGTCTGCACCTTTCAACTAGCAAATAAACATAAAACCTATCTGATTGCAGTGTTGTAAGCAAAGGCCCTGTTCTGGCCCTGGAGTTGAGGGTTAACACTTAGGAGCTGCTTTCCTGCCCCAGCATTCCCCCATGACAAGAGGTGGGGCAGGCAAGCTTTATTAGTAGGCCTGCGAACTCCCAGGCTACGTCTACATTGGCAAGATTTTGCGCAAATACTCTTTAATGCGAGAGTTTTTGCGTTAGAGTATTTGCGCAAGAGAACGTCTACACTGGCATGTGCCTTTGCGCAAGAGCATCCGTGCCAGTGTAGATACTCTCTTGCGCAAGAAAGCTCTGATGGCCATTTTAGCCATCGGCTTTCTTGCGCAAGAAATTCATGTTGCCTGTCTACACTGGCCTCTTGCGCAAGAACAGTTGCGCAAGAGGGCTTATTCCTGAGCGGGAGCATCATAGTTCTTGTGCAAGAAGCACTGATTTCACACATTAGAACGTCAGTGTTCTTGCCCAAGAACTCCCTACCAGTGTAGACAGGCAGCATGTTTTTGCGCAAAAGTGGCCGCTTTTGCGCAAAATCGGCCGCTTTTGTGCAAAATCATGCCAATGTAGACACAGCCCCAGTGGTTCAGTGTCTCCTCCTGGCCTTTTCAGGCCACTGCAGGACTAAAGCTTATTAATTACCCCACCTGACTGGATTGTCCTTAAATTGGAAGTGTCAGGGACTGGAGACTGCAAAGGCATGATAGACCCTCTGCTACAAAGGTTCTTATGAAAACCACAGTGTAGACCATTACATATATATATGCGGGGGGCTGACAGAATTGCCCAGCCCCTAGGCAAGCTAGGGGGCAGCTCTGTGCTCCTGAAAGGGGCAGGGCATCAAGTGGAAGAACACTAGTCTCCCCCCACCGGCCCCTTAATGCCACCTGGATCTCTGGCAGTGATTCAAGGGCCTGGGGCTTCAGCTGCCACAGTAGCTGCCCCTTTTATCTCCTCTGGCGGTGGGCGGGGGGAGGAGGCTATATATATGGTGCTAGTCAAGACTTAATTATCACCAGGTGCTTCATGGCTATCGTTATACCTCCCTTGCATGGTATTTCTGGAATCCTTTGGATTTACACTTTGCTATCTAATACCTTTCAGATAATGATGCCTGCTGGTTACAGCAGAGCTGATGCGTGTTGAGAGTCTCCATTGCTAAACTTAACAAGAAATTCTTGCCCCTCTGCCTATGAAAAAGTTCTGTTGAGTAAGGTGAACTGCTTTAGTTACTTCTGCAGGGAAGTTAACTTTTGTTTTGCTTGTGACTAATCTCTGGTAAGGGGGGGGGGGGGGGGCGCTGTTTAC